GATCCCGAATTCAAATGGGTCTCCAGCACTTTGTTGTCAGTCGTAAGAGTCTCTTAACTGAATTGAGTAGGAAAGCTCTGTGAGTGAGTGGTCTGGGTTTTACGTCGCTTCCAGCAATATTCCAGCAATATTCCAGCAATATCACGGAGGAGGACACCAAAAATGGGCTTCACGCGTTGTACCCATGGGAAGTGAACCCGGGTCAGCCGCGTGACGAATGAAGGCTTTAACCACTTCAACTAACATATTTTACAAGGTGCGATTTTCTTGGTATTCCCTCGTCCGGATTAACAAGGTTCCCTGTATGAATCATGTACAGGCCATGACCATTTTTGCATCTGTTCTATTTTAAAATAATATCCTTTACAATAATCATAATAATATGTTTGAGAACATAGAAATAGTTTCAAAAAGGAGGGAAGCAAAACACGCAAATAGTCCACATACAAATACAGTCACGAATTCCATTCCAAAATTGTATCCATAATGGTAAATATTAATAAATAGATGAGTAGACAAAAGACAGGCTGCGCTGGTCAGACAGATCGTCTCTTTGCTCTTGCTTCCATGTCACGTCAACAAAACGTGATTTTTATCAAATAACTGGCTCCTGCTGTTCGAGAGAACACGATTTTATTTCAGGCTCGAAAGCTGTTATTCCGGGACACTACAAACTTAAGTCAATATTTCATGTCAATGTTTCCTATAAATCACACCTCTGAATACATCTCAGTGCCGTGTTACAAAGAATTGTTTCCTCTCAATCCAAGTCTAAATAGTAAGCATACACGTATTCTCAAATGTTTTATTCGAACTACCCTAGAATGTATAATTATATATCATGAGACATATTACAATAGCTGGCCACACGCTCGATTCTAAATATCGATACATATATTTGTATACTTACGTGAAACACAAAAGTAAACATTGATTGTTAAGAAAGGGCATAAAAATAGCCAAACCTGAAATTATGTCGTTCGTCTTACTTATGTGATCTGAATTGAGGTGAGGTGAGGTGAAATTGGGTTTAACGTCGTGCTTGAGAATATTTCGCTCATATGACGACGTGCATGCGTGTGTATGTGTATGTGCGGCTGCTTGTACTAGCCCAGACTGAAGCTGGTTTTATAGTGCTAGCCCACTGAGATACCATGAATTGAAACCACACCCATTGCCAAGTACACTGAAATATTGTTTGGACTTATTCTTTATAATGTTTATTCTTTACTTTATTCCACCAGCATGTTTCCAATTAGGAACATACGTGACATGTTAATGTGGATAAGTCTATAGGATATCCAGAAATTTTAGGTTAATGATCTTTATAACCATCGGTTTAAAGGGAAACAAACACAAAATAATTTATTTCGTTAAAGTCGATTTGAAAAATATTAAAACAAAATATGTTTGGTTTAGAATCTTAAATCTAAATCTAGCCAAAAAGGAGGAAGTTGTTAGTTGAAGTTAATGACGTCACGAGGGGCTTGGTTGCCCCTACGCCTGACGGGAAGGGATACCTTGGTATTACAGTAAGCCGTAGTGTGATTAAGTCCACGGCAAACATGGGTTTGTGTGGCCAGTTGGAATTAAACCGTCGTTACATATTCCAAGCATGCAGCGAACATGAGTTGATGTTTAATTCTCGGGGAAATGTGAAGATTACATCATTACTTCCATTGCAGTCCCTAACCCATGTCTAATGGAATGAGACTCGGCCCTGTTCGGCGTTTACCCGGAAGTGGTTAGACAGTTCCTGGAATTTGACCGCTGTCACTCTGAGTTAAAACCCTTTCAAATGTCATCACAATTTCACTGTCATAAAAAAGATTTTTTGTCAAAATCGAAAATACACACACCGGTCATGAAAACAAAAATGTTAAATGCCAAATTTAGTTGTAACATAAACAAGGAGATTGTAGCTTTACGTTTTACATTTAAGAGATCTATGTCTGGATTTCAATAGTTTGGTGGGTTTTTTTTTTTTCAGAAGCTCAGTGAAATCCTCTTTTGTACTGTTGTAAAGTAAAAGATTCAGTGTTGAAAGAACAAAAGGTTAGGCTATTAGGGAAGCATGTCTGAACTGCTTGTCTATACATGTATTTAGTGAAAGACATCACCATAAGCTGGACATAACAACGTGAAACATGGCCCACTGACCTGTACATCCATAGACATTCAGAGAGATGTGCCTGTGACCTGTGTGATGCGATAGACAGACAAGACAGCCCTCTGTAGTTGAATGATAAATGCCTTCCGAAGACGTCAAGCGGTAAACGTATTAGCAACATTCCCCAGTGGCCTTACATAGATAGAGTGAGTGAGTGAGTTGAGTTTTACGTCGCTTTATTCCAGCATCATCACGGCGGGGACACCAGAAATGGGCTTCACATATTGTACCCATGTGGGAATTGAACCCGGGTCTTCGGCGTGACGGGCGAACGCTTTATCGACTAGGCTAACACCCCCATCCCCACCTGTCAGACATTACATCAATTGAACCAATGCCCAGACTGAGTTGATCAAAACAATCACGAAGAACTAAAGGTATACACATGGAACTTAATTAATAATTAAGCAACCCCTTACGTATTTTAAGTTACTGACTTTACCTAATGATAAATCTTGAATTGTAACGATGACTATCATTTGAACTGTATTTCCTTCCAATATTATTTAAGGGTTTTGCAAAATCAATCGTCAAAACACATCCCAAAATGCAGTTGAAGCACACTACCGACGTTTGTCTCAAAATCTATCCAGACTTTGAGTTACCGACATCTTCGTGCGATTTTGAAAATGCTTATTCTTCAACACATAGACATTAATAAGCAAATTCAGTACATTCAATGTATTCACACCATCAAAGTTTATCAGTGTGCTAAATAATGTTGATTGTATACACGTGGAAGACTGCTAATTTGGGGGGAATAATCGCCAAGCGATCTTAACTGCCGCCATGTTGGTGTACCAGCATCACCTTAGGTACAGTGTAAATTGGTCATACACGCCTTTTAGGAATATAATCCCAAAGCAACTGATGTGACCTTTCTTGTTTTACGTCAGTTCAGTGGATGTTCACTCCTTTAAAACTGCCAAGAAGGTGAATGGGTGAATATTATAAATCGACCTATGCATGTCAGTAACCCCGAGGGATACGCTGGTCGACTAGATGGGTCGGGTGGTCAGGCTCGGTGGTTTGGTTGCTTCAATGTCACCACACCCCGGCTGGGTGGATTGTGCTCCCAGTACATTACTATCTGATCTACACTCGGTTATTTACAGGCAGCCTTTATAAAGTTGGTGTTAAAGACAACAACACACAAACAAAAAACAAAGCAATAATTAAAACAAAACACGGAGATAGTAAAACCGGAAAAAGATGAACTAACCAAGGAGGTCTAGATAATATTACGACATAACGTCCTAGTCCCCAAAAAACGTACTAGTCCCTGGTCATCATATTGTAACCTCTTTAAGTATTGGGATAAATGGGATAAAAAGTACATGGATAGTCAGTATATCAGGGACTATCCATGTACTTTTTATCCCATTGGTTTTACGCCGCTTTTAGCAATATTCCAGCAACATCACGGCGGGGGACACCAGAAATGGGCTTCACATGTTGTACCCATGTGGGGATTCGAACCCGGGTCTTCGGCGTGACGAGCCAACGCTTTAACCACTAGGCTACCCCACCGCCCCGTCCTGATATAGGCAGCGATATCCTCACAGAATAAACAACAACTGTTCCTGGTAGAAACAGGATATTAATTAATCCAAGGTTGTATTAAGGGATTAATTTTTCGTGTCCATTAAAAATATACCATTCTGACAGTAATATAGGATAAAATGTTCTCTGGTAGTGTTATGATAAAAAGGCCTTGATTGCATTTGAAATCCTGCTTCAAAGAAAGTATAATTTTATGTAAGGACTAATATGTAGTCATTAGCAGTATTAGAAATCCTCGTGGTATTAAGATAGAATACGCCATGCTAGTATTACTAATAAGGAAAGAATTTCCCTTGCAGATGTAGGACAAAGTCTTTGGTAGTAACAGAAAGAATAAATTATTATTTTTTTCGGATATAAGGACAATGCGAAGAAAGGACACATTGCAGACTTTGTAAGCAGATTTGGCGTCTGTCTACAATAGCAATAAGGGCATTCCTTTTAACAACTAGTATTAAAATTATTTAAAATTATTTGTTAAAAGTTTTGAAATAAAAGTATCTATGAAGCCGCCAGATGAGCACACTGCCTTTCCTGTTGACCATGCTAGTGTGCACAGCCTTGGTTATTGTGATTGTCAATGATGCCGTCTCACAAACACCGCGCGCCGGGGCTGTTCACGTCGTCACGCAAACGGCGGCAACCAAGTTTATCGTGTAAGGAGACGATCTGAACACGCGTCAGTCTACAAAGAAGCGGCCCTTTCAGCTAGGCGGATTTTAGTCCGGGTTGTGACCCAACACACACGTCAACGCGCACGACGTCGTCTGTCGCTCCGTGCCTCACGTCCACTCCGCCGGGGTTAACATCCGGCTGCTCTCATCTCCGGCTAAATAGCTCCACGAGTCCTATCTGTGCAAGCTCAAACTGTCACCGGGGAGTATTTAAACCCCTTTTGTTGACCTTTGCTTACATTTTGAGAATTGGCGTTTGCTAGTTAATTACAAACCTCTCCGACTCACCGCTAGCTCGCCTTACAGATCTAATGTGTGAATTTTAGAAATCATTTCCAAATTTTACAAGTGCCTCCGCAGTCCACTGTCACATTTGAATGTGGATTTGTGAAACGTAATGTGCCATGGAGGCGGAGAATTGAAAATATTTAGATTACACTGAGTATTTCTCCTGTGCGGTTTAAGAGACGCTGCCACTTTGGACATCTCCTCTCTTGCGTAGTGAGGAGGTAGCTTCAACTTGAAGCCTTGAAGCCTTTACACCAGGATTGAAGGACTGTTTGGAACAATCTTTGACACAAGAGTGTTGGACCATGAAAGGTGAGGTTGTGTTTGTGCTTGCAGTATTTCTGCACGTTGCTATTGAGACGGTCAGTAGTGTTGAGAACCGATGTACGGCAAAGAACTGTAAGCTCCCCGACTGCCGCTGCCCAGGACATAACATTCCCGGGGGATACAAGCCAGAACAAATCCCACAGATGGTTCTTATCACATTTGATGACGCAGTTAACTGGGAAAACTGGGATTATTACATGAAACTCTTCCCTCCAGATCGAAGCAGGCTCAACCCCAACGGCTGTCCCGTAGCTTCAACGTTGTTCGTGTCCAACAACTTCACCGACTATTGCATGTTGAAGAAGTTGCATGCCCGCGGTCTCGAGATCGCGGACCACAGTGTATCTCATCGTGTTCCGCATTCGTGGTGGGGCCAAGCATCTGACGAAGATCTTCGGGAAGAAATTGTCCAGCAGAAGAAGAATCTTGCCGAACTAGCTCAGATACCAGTCGAGGACATTCGAGGATGGAGAAGTCCCTTCCTCCAGCCAACAGGGGACACCATGTTTAATATTCTGTACGAAAATAATTTTACGTACGATGCTACAATGACGTACCCGTTTCCCAGAAATGTTTACTCCCCTGTCATGTGGCCCTTCACCCTTGACTACTCATACACCTTGGTCTGCAACATCAGCCCCTGCCCCAAGAACCAGTACCCTGGGTTCTGGATTCTCCCCGTGGTGGTCATGATGGACTACAGAGAGCACCTCCCTTGTGCGTATGTAGACTTCTGTAAAAACGCTCCCAGGAATCAAGACGAAGCTTTTCAGCTTCTCTGGAAGAACTTCCTTAGAAACTACCGAACCAACCGCGCACCAATGTACGTTAACCTTCACTCCGTCTGGCTCCAGACCAAGTTCAACCTAGACGCCATGGATGAGTTCATCGAGCGGCTCACCTCCATGGACGACGTGTACGTGACCACCGTCAGCAAGGCCATAGAATGGATGAGGAACCCCACCCCACTAACAGAGATCCAGAACTTTGAGCCGTGGCAGTGTGTGAAGAAACCGAACATAGAAGACGACGCTTTCTGTTCTTTCACCTTCAAACCCATAACGACCTTGGCGCCGGGTCAGAAAACCACGGACCACACCCACGTTCACGGCGAGGAAGACAAAGATAGAAACAGGAACAGCAACACAATAGGAAGAAATAAACCCAATGACAGATTGGGTAAAATGGACCTACCACCTCCAAGGGACGCTCACTCTAACCATAGAAAACACAGGCCGTGGTTCTTGAAGAATTCGGGTTCGGAGGTGAATTTATGTGCAAAACTGGTTGTTTCAATGATGTGGCTACCTTTAGTAATTTCTTTTAGATTATAGACATATTTGTGATGGTGATTATTTTGGGACGATGTGAACGTTGTGTATAAACTGTTATAGACTGACGGAACTCTTAAAGGTAAACATATATCGCACTATATATATGAACTGTTCATGTAATATCCTTATTGAATTTTTGTACATACAATCGTCGTCACTGTCTAATCCGGCACCCTGTCTAAACCGGCATTTTATTTCGGCCCCGTGGGGTGCCGGTTTAGACAGGTTTCACTGTATATGTAGCTGAGGGTATGGGGCATGTAGTTCGAAGCTTTATGATTCTTGAGCAAAACATCGTGGAATATCCGATTTTTCTGAAAGTTTAAAGTTTGCGAGTTGGGTGTGTCGATACGGCTGCGCCTTTTCAGCCGGCGCAAATGTCTATGACAGCTATCTCGAGACAAGCGCCCAGTCAAAGCATCCACCACGCAACCTTTAATTTGTTAAAGTCACGCATAATTTGAACCAAGGAATAATAAGAAATTGAGAATTAATGCCACGGGCATCTCATTTCAAACAGCATCGTGACGTCATAATCAGATTATCCGCAATCGCAAGTTTGTATGATAAGCAAGATACTAGACTAGGCCACATTGCCAGCGTTGACAGTCGAGATGTATCTGCTCCAGAGCGCCTTCTCTGGTCGTATGTATAAATGTAAATATTCTATTGAGAAATCAAAGTTGTCTGCAATAGTATTTCATCTTGTTTTCTGACTTAAAATACAAAAATGCGCTAAAAGTAGGTATAGGTACAATTTCTATAATAAAGGTAGTGGTTAAAGGGGGGCGCGGCCCTGACATTTTGGCAGCCCCGTTAAATTCTATTCAAGTCGCTCTAACAGCACTGTGTTTGTCTGTTAAGCTCGATATTTGTGTTTGGGTGAATCAGTTGACAAATAGCGCAATGAGATGAAGATACAATTTCACAGAACGTACTAATCACAAAATACTAAAATTCTACGAGTGTGAGTGAGTTTGGTTTGACGCCGCCTTTAGCAATATTCCGGCGAGGGACAACATAAATGGGTTCCACATTTTGTAGCCATGTGGGGAATCGAACGTGAAGAGCAAACGCTTTAACCACTGGGCTACCCTACCGCCTCTAAAGCTGTACGAGATAACCACGAGGCTGTCGCGCACAGATCTTTCAAGCTGAATTTCTGTCCGACATAGATTGATCACTAGAATGTCACGTGGAATTTATGTTGATTTGTATTAAAACCCCTATCAGCTGATTGACATTTTAGAAAAGCAATGAAAACATGCGGCCTTAAACTAAATCTTAACGAATAATTTTAGTCAAGCAGTTCCACGTTCGCACTTTCTCTTTGCACACAGATTAAGCAGGACCCGTGCTGGAGTAACAAGGCCGAGTATTACTTGAGTAAGTATGACCTAGGACACGAACTCAAAAAAAAATCTTTATCTCTTCTGTCTAAACACTGACGTGCTAAGATCAGATTATATTTATAAGATTGTTCTCAATCTTACATAGGGCTTGACTCCCTTTTGTATAAACAGAATCAGTATTTAGACAATCCTATTATCCACAAGAATAAATCCCTGGAACATTCACGCTAATGTTACTGATGTCATTGTTACTTAGCCTAATGTCCGTGTGTATTCCGGGTTTGTTGTGCTCTGGGCTCTGGTAAGGATAAAGAACAATGAGTCGAGGATACTGTACCCATGTGAGGATTCAAACCGGAAATACCAGTTTGGCAAGCGCATGCTCTAAACGTTTAACGACTCCACACTTACTTCTTAAACGCCAGCAGAATGTTAAACACTTGGTATTGGCTAACAATTTGTAAAGATGGTCTTTGATTGGCATATTGATTGCCAAGGAGACATGAAGCCATTATCGATTAGAGGGTTTGGTTCTTTGTAAATGTGTCTCTTTTAATGAAAGGGCACATAGTAGGCAAGAGCTAGCCCTCAGACGTCACTGAAAAGATGTCATCGTATCCGAATTGCGTAGATCACTGGATTATCTGGTCCAGATTATTTACTGACCACCGTCATAGAACTAGAATAGTGTTGAGTGTGATGTTAAGCAACAACAATAAACAATCGAGAGACAGACATGAGCTGTATGGGCAAAAACTGGCTCTGAACCACCTCTAGAAACAGCAACAACTTATTATCGGTACATGCTACCTGTCATAATTCACACAACAAAAAACGTCTGAACCTTCCAGTTAAGTATCATTACTGACAAAATTCAAAGTCAAAGGTAAAGAATTTGTTAGGCTGAAAGTCTTGCAGCCAGTGCTTAGTGAGGATCGCTTGGATCTGATGCCGCTTTTTGAAGGTTTAAGGGTGCTAACATATTCTTTGAACAATGTCTACCTGTGTGTAGGGCGTCGCCAATAGTGCAATATTGTAAACAGGTGTATGATGTAGCTCTCTATCGTGTATATTAGTCTGTCTGCCCTGTCGTGTATATGATTTGTAATGTGTATAGCCAATGTTGTACATAATCAGTGAAAAAGGTTAAAAAATAAAATTCTATAACATTTTCATGTTTGTGGTTATTTTGTTGTGAATGTTTGAAATGTCGCAGATGGCGCTGTATTGATTTAGACACTCATTTGCATGCCCAGTACTACGACATAAACTGTCATTTGTAACATATCATTGTTGGGTTTTTACAGGAAGTGTTTGAAATCTTGCCGAAATTTCTTTGAGTGGCATTTTAGATGTTGGGAAGTGATATATTGACAAACTTTAAGGAAAACATCTTCTTTTATTTCGTCGTGCATTCACGAAATAAAAGAAGTTGTTGTCCATGAAGTTTGCCCATATAGCTTCATAGTCGTTGAGAACCCCTTCGTGTCTAGAGGGTAGAGTGTGTGCCCGGAGAGCGTGAGGTTCGATCCCCGGTCGCTCCCTGCCAATCTTTCCGAGGTAAGGAAGCTAACAGACTATGTTCACTGTCCACTCTTGGCCTGCACTAACGCTTAGTCTCTGAAAATCTAACAAGTTTGATACAAACAAATAACATTAATAGACTACTGAAAAGGAGCCCAAGTGAAATGGGAGGCTGAGGTTCGTGAACCTGGGGGAGATTCTAGACTTGCTTCATTTAGGGCTATAGCATTAGAGTGAGGGCAGGGTAGAAGGGAAATGTTGTTGTACAGGGCCTGTGAGACAGACTACCCTTTGTCATATCATTATCGTCATTCCAAAGATAGCATTTGCTGTCACCCTGCCTGGCGCTTGGGGTTAAAGGGACACAAAAGACGTGTCGGCTCGGAATCAGCGAGCTTGTCTGAGTGGAGTGAGTCACAGATGCTTGGAATCTCTGAAGGCTAGCACAGTGAAACCGGCGTTTGTGCGGACTGGCAATGGCGGATCCAGAGGGGGGTTCAGGGGGTTCGAACCCCATGAAACAAAACAACACCCCCCCCCACCCCCTTTCAAAATTTCTGGATCCGCCCAAGGACTAGTACAAACAGACGCGCACGCACGCTAGTGAGCTTATGCGCATGCATATACATTCGTCGCCATGTTGGAGCAATGATCTTGAAAACGACGCCAAAACCCATTTATCTCCCTAAGCAGTCTGGCGTTTCATAGCCAATTAAGATTTCAGTCACAGGGAGGTAGCTTAGTTTCATGACAGGAGCGTTATCGGTTAAGATTATCTATTAAAGTCATATACAAGTACATGTATATATATTATTAGTCATCTATATAAAGTGATGAACTTGTGTCGAAACGATACTGTTAACTGAAGGCATACAAACATGTTTGAAATATCTCATGGTCTAGGGATTATTAGCATCATGTCGTCAAGAGTAACAGCTGTATAAGACAGCACGTATTCACTGCTGTCCTGGATAGGTTTTGGAAGTGCAGACATTCTATACACAAGTGCACATCTGCCACGACGGTGGTACTTCCTCATTCGCATATGCCGACGTGCCCAACATACCAGAGGTGGGGGGTGGGGTGGCTGTGTGTTATGAAATATAGTACACATGCTATTGCCCCACTAAATTATCTGGTTCAAACACTCATTTGAATATGTTGAGTACAGATTGTCTATCACTGGATTGTCTGAACCAGACTCTTTCTCATTTGGATAATTGGACGCGCATGCCAACACACATGCTCAACCTACAAGCAGAAACATATGGAACATTATTGACACAGATGTCAATATACCATTACCGCTGGAAGCAGCGAGTTAGTGAGTGAGTTTAGTTTAGTTTAGCTTTACGCCGCTTTTCGCAATATTCCCGCAACATTAAGGCAGTGGATAGGAGGAATGTGTTTCACCCATTATACCCATGTGGGGAATCGAACCCGGAACGCTTTAACTACTATGCTACACGACCGCCCCCACTGGAAACAGGCACAATGCATACCTTATAGTGTACAGAACCCGTTTGTATCAACATTCACGTGTCTTTACACCTGTTTTCAGTAATGGGCCCTTAAGTTTGGTTGTATCAAACGTTTAGTTACATTCAGTAACGATATTCGTATATTAACGGACCAATAACTTACCGAAGGTCTGGGGTACTCTCAATGCATTAAACTGGTTCTAAAGTCAAATATGCTTCTATACGTTCAAAAACACTGGGATCACATCAAAACTGTGCTTTCGCACTGACAAAAAACATCTCAAAACATATAAAGCGCATGATAGGTTCATTAAATTGATACACATATCTTATATTCTTACTAACATTTTATATTTATAAAACCTTTTGTAATCGGCATTGAGTTTCACAATTTTTCAGTAAGAATACCAAATAGTGGTATATATTCCATCATGTTTTAAAAGACTTCAGGTTATAAACCAGGTTTACAGATGACTGACTGAGTCACC